TCAAACACTCCCAGGGACAGGGGGTTAGATACAGGGTAAAGCTTCCTCTACACTGTCCCCCATCACACACTCCCAGGGACAGCACGGGGTTAGATACAGAGTAAAGCTCTCTCTACACTGTTCCCCCATTAAACACTCCCAGGGACAGGTACAGCATGGGGTTAGATACAGACTAAAGCTTCCTCTACACTGTCCCTCCCCATCAAACATTCCCAGGGACAGGGACAGCACGGGGTTAGATACAGAGTAAAGTTCCTTCTACACTGTCCCCCCACCCCCGCCATCAAACACTCCTAGGACAGGGAGAGCACGAGGTTACAGAGTAAAGCTTTGAACTAAAAGGAAATTGAAAGAAAAAATCCCTTGGCTCTTTAACTAAAACAGGGAGTCAAAAATAATGCCTTGGGATTCTCCTTAGTCCTACTTGTCAAAGTCATTTCATGGTCCCTTTAGGTCCTCCAAATTCCTTGCTTAATTTCTTTTCTGCTTCCTTTACATCATATATTAAGGATAATCCTAAGAGATTCTACAAATGCATTAAGACCAAGAGAGCAACTACAGAGAGAGTAGGGCCCCTTAATGATCCAAGAGGCCATCCTTGTGTTGACCCTCAGGAGATGGGACAGAAATTAAATGAAAATTTCGCATCAGTTTTTGCTGGGGGGAAAAAATGGAGGCTAAAGAGAACTCAGGGAAATAAATATTGATAGTTTGAAAACAAGTCATATTACTGTAGAGGAATTGCTGGAGGTCTCTGTGATCTGATCTAGTGTATCCTGAGACATTCTGGGAAGTTAGGGAGGAAATTTGCAGAAATATTTCTTCATCATCTATAACTATGGGTGAGGTGCAGATGACTGGAGAGTGGCTAACTTTATGCCTTTATTTAAGAAGGGGCGTAAAGAGAAGCTTGGGAAGTATAGGCCTGTGAGTCTGTCTCCGGTGCTGGGTAAGTTGTTGGAAGTGATTCTGAAAGATAAGATTTGGATACATTTGGAGAGGCAGTTAGCGATTAGGGATAGCCAGCGTGGTTTGGTGTGAGGGAAATCATGTCTCACAAAAATGATTGTGTTTTTTGACGAAGTGGCTGAGAAGATTGATAAGGACAGAACAGTAGACATTATTTCATTGGACTTTAGTAAAGCCTTTGACAAGGTTCTGCAAGGGAGACTAATTAATAAAATTTGGATCACATGGGGTTCAGGGTGAGCTTTCCAACTGGATACAAAATTGGTTTAACGGAAGGAGACAGAAAGTGTTGGTGAAGGTTTGTTTTTTGGACTGGACACTGGTGTTCCACTGGGATCGATGCTGGGTCCACTTTAGTTTATCACTTATATTAATGATTTAGATGAGAATATAGGAGGCATAGTTAGTAATTTTGCGGATGACACCAAGATTGGTGGTAGAGTGTACAGTAAACAGGGTTATCTACGATTACAAAGAGATCTTGATCATTTGGGTCAATGTGCTGAGGAGGAGCAGATGGAGTTTAATTTGGATAAATGCGAGGTAATGTACTTTGGTAAAACAAACAAGGGCAGGACTTATACAATTAAAGGTAGGGCCTTGGGTAGTGTTGTAGACCAGAGAGACCTAGGGGTTCAGGTGCATAATTCTTTGAACTTTGCATCATATATAGACAGGGTGGTTAAGAAGGCAATTAGTTCACTTGCTTTCATTGCTCAGACCTTTGGGGATTTCTTTTCATTTGTTGGATGTGGACAACATTTATTACCTGTCCCTAGTTGCCCTTGAAAAGGTGGTGATGAGCTGCCTTCTTGAACCGCTGCATTCCTCCTGCTGTGGGTTGACCCAGAATGCTATTAGGGAGAGAATTCCAGGATTTTGACCCAGCGACAGTGAAGGAACGGCAATATATTTCCAAGTCAGGATGGTGAGCGGCTTGGAGAGGAACTTGAAGTTGGTGGCATTCCCATATATCTGCAGCCCTTCTCCTTCTAGTTGGAAGTGGTCGTGGGTTTGGAAGATGCTGTCTGAGGATCTTTGGTGAATTTCTGCAGTGCATGTTATAAATAGTACACACGGCAGCTACTGATCTTCGGTTGTGGAGGGAGTGAATGCTTGTGGATTTGATGCCAATCAAGTGGGCTGCTTTGTCCTGGATGGTATTGAGCTTCTTGAGTGTTGTTGGAGCTGCACTCATCCAGGCAAGTGGGGAGTATTCCATCACACTCCTGACTTGTGCCTTGTCGATGGTGGACAGGCTTTAGGGCAGTCAGGAGATGAATTACTCACCTCAGTATTCCCAGCTTCTGACCTGCTCTTGTAGCCACTGTGTTTATGTAGTGAGTCCAGTTCAGTTTCTTGTCAATAGTAACCCCCAGGATGCTGATCGTGGGGGGATTCAGTGATGGTAACACCATTGAATGTCAAGGGGGCGATGGTTAGGTTGTCTCTTATTGGTGATGGTCATAGCCTGGCATTTGTGTGGCGCAAATGTCACTTGCCACTTGTCAGCCCAAGCCTGGATATGGTCCAGATCTTGTTGCATTTAGACACAGACTGCTTCAGTACCTGAGGAGGGGGCGAATGGTGCTGAACCTTGTGCAACCATTGGCGAACATCCCCACTTCTGACCTTATGATGGAGGGAAGGTCTTTGATGAAGCAGCTGAAGATGGTTTGGGGGCCGGGGACACCACCCTGAGGAACTCCTGCAGAGATGTCCCTGGAACTGAGGTCACTGACCTCCGACAGCCACGACCATCTTCCTGTGTGTCAGGTATGACTCCAACCAGCGGAGCGTTTACTCCCGATAGCCATTGATTGGCTCGGGGCTCCTTGATGCCACACTCGGTAGAATGTAACCTCGATGTCAAGGGCTGTCACTCTCACCTGACCCTTTTGTCCAGCTCCTTTTGCCCATGTTTGAACCAAGGCTGCAATGAGGTCAGGAGCTGAGTGGCCCTGGTGGGACCCAGACTGGGCGTCACTGAGCAGGTTATTGCTGAGCTGGGTTCTGTTCCATAGCCCTAATGATGGCACCTTCCATCACTTTACTGAAGATCGAGAGTAAACTGATGGGGCAGTAATTGGCTGGGTTGGATTTGTCCTGCTTTTTATGTACACAACAGGAGTATAAGAGTTGGGACGTCAGTTTTACAGGACATTGGTGAGGCGTCTTCTGGAGAACTGTGTCCAGTTTTTATCGCTCTGTTTTGGAAGGATATTATTAAACTGGAGAGGGTTCAGAAATGCTTTAATAGGATGTGGATGGGAATGGAGGGTTTGTGTTATCAGGAGAGGCTGGATAGGCTGAGACTTTTTTCACTGGAGCTTAGGAGGTTGAAGGGTGGCCTCATAGAGGTTTATAAAATCGTGAAGGGTACGGATATAGTGAATGGCAGGTATCTTTTCCTAAGGGTGAGGGATTGCAAGACCAGGGGGCATATTTTTAAGGCGAGAGTAGAAAGATTTAAAAAAGACATCAGAGGCAATTATTTTTTACATAGAGATTGGTTCGTGTGTGGAATGAACTTCCAGAGGAAGTGATGGATGCAGGTACATGCTATAGGAAGGATGTTGTGAAACCTGAAAGGGTTCATAAGTGGTTTACAAGGATGTTGCCAGGGTTCAGAGCTATAGGGAGAGGCTGTATAGGCTGGGCTATTTTCCCTGGAGCGTCAGAGGCTGAGGGGTGACCTTATAGAGGTTTATCAAAACGTAGAAACAGGAGGAGGAGACCATTCGGCCCTTCCAGCCTGCTCCACCATTCATCACAATCATGGCTGATCGTCCAACTCAATAGCCTAATCCTGCTTTCTCCCCGTAACCTTTGATCCCATTCGACCCAAGTCCTATATCTAGCTTCCTCTTCAATGTTTTGGCATCAACTGCTTCCTGTGATAATGAATTCCACAGGCTCACCACTCACTGGATGAAGAAACGTCTCCTCATCTCCGTCCTAAATGGTCTACCCCGAATCCTCAGACTGTGAGCCCTGGTTCTGGACTCACCCACCATCGGGAACATCCTCCCTGCATCTATCCTGTCCCGTCCTGTTAGAATTTTATAAGTCTCTATGAGATTTCCCCCTCATTCATATGAACTCCAGCAAAAACGATCCCAACCGAGTCAATCTCTCCTCATATGTCAGTCCCACCATCCCCGGAATCAGCCTGGTAAACCTTCGCTGCACTCCCTCGAGAGCAAGAGCATCCTTCCTCAGAAAAGGAGACCAAAACTGCACACAATATTCCAGGTGTGGCCTCACCAAGGCCCTGTATAATCTGCAACAACACATCCCTGCTCCTGCACTCGAAACCTCTCGCAATGAAGGCCAACATCCCATTTACCTTCTTTACCACCTGCTGCACCTGCATGCTTACCTTCAG